CGACTTTGGAAGCTTCCGGATGGTCTGGTTGCAGCTTCCTATGTTATTCTCAGTTTGTGCTAATTTTTTATGTTTTCCACTTACACTAATTCGTAATAACTTCTTGAAAAAAGATAACTTTCATTTCGGAGGAGCCCAAGGCATTTGATAATGGCAAAATCCAGCAATGGCAGCGGATGGCAGTCTGATCACCTGAACCCAGCCGACCATAGATGAGTAGCCAAGACCCCCACGACTATTAAATCCCGACAGGCTTGATGAGAAGGTGCGGAAAAAGATTGTGAGTAGGCTGAACACCCGGCCCGAGTCTCCAACATAGAATGAGTGCACCATAACCATTCACAAACGTTCTTCAGAAGGGGGCGATGTCAGCTCACCATTCCTGTCCTTGAAGGAGAACCAATTCAGTTAGGAAAAATATACTGGCATATAAGAAACCTTCATTGTTATCTTACATCCCGAGCCAGAGAATGTAGCGACCACTGTATGGACTTGAAAAACTGCCATAAATTGATGACAGAAATGAAATTACATTAGCCGACATCCAAAATAAGGATAGAACGGCTACCCTTCCATGGAGAAGGCAGACAACGCTTTTCATACTTTTTTGAATTTACCAGTATTATATTATATCTGGATGCGAAGATCGAACCTAGTACGCGCGGGTGTTTCGCTTTGCCAGCACACATAGAGAAAAATCCTCAACAAGAGAAAAAAATGTGCTTTCTTTTTTATCAATTTTTATTAAATTCAAAATAAAATTTATTATTATTATTATTTTATTTTTAGAGTAATGAATTGAATTCTTAGACTAAAAAAAAGACATTGAGCACTAGCAATACAGGCTATCAGCTCAAAATAAAATTTAAAATGTTTTATATTCATTCAAAACCGCTTTCAATAAATTCGTTAAAATAGTCGCCCACAAATTTTTTTTTTTAAATCATCATAGTGTTTAGTTTCTAAATACGTGTATATATATAAATTGTTGTTTTCTTTTCTGTATTAAAATATATACGGCGCTGTGCAGCTTATATTTTTCTCAGAAAAATCATAAAATAACCAATTAAAACAAATTAAAAAGAAAAAAATAAACAAATCCAGGACACGTAAAATTATCTTGCGAATTGAAGCCTATAAATATATATATAGTTTCCTAAAATTGAAATTTGTTTTAAAATTCTTAAAGCCGTTTACTATTGCACGATAAACATAAACTCAATTCTTCCTTGAATTGCGCATGTCGATGTTCCAATTACACTTCCTGCTGACGTATACTTAAAACTGTTTCAAACCGAAAAATAATCCCCGGTAGTAGTGTCAAATTGAAATTAAAGTGGAAAATAATTCTATTAAGTTGTACTCAAACCGAAAAATAATCCCTGGTAGTTGTGTCAAACTGAAATGGCACTAAGAAATAATTCGACGAAGTACATCTGCGTCTATGGAATATTCTTTGTAAACTTGAAAAAAAAATCAAGCACTTTAGAAACATCAATTTCTGAGCATTGCCATTTTCGTAAAAGCAACTCTAGCCAAATACTATACATGGCTTTAAGATTTCCCTTGGAACTGGACATGAGAAGCTGTAGACAACATTAATCATTTTTAAGAAAAATAGGAAGTAGTTATTGGATGATAGGCTAGCAGGACATTTTTAAACTGAGAGTTGTGATAGCTTCGTGGACATCGTTGGGATACTGAATTATTGAAAACTTCTTTTTTATTTATATCAAATACTACCTTGCTTAAAGCATTTATATTTGAAACTTCTCTATTAATGACAATATAGTCTATTTGTTCATTCTTTTGTAAATTTAATTCAAAAACTTTTACTGTAAGATTAAGACGTTTATAACAATTGCGCAAAAGTTCATAATGGTCCTGGCTGCCATATTATTATTAGGTTTTCGTTGCTGCTTCCAAGTATTTTATCAAGTGCTGCTTTAAATCTATCAATTTCATAATAATTTTAAAAGACAATACTCAGCCAATTGTAAGAATCTACATTGCTACTGCGCAGTAACATGCAATCACCGAACCTAACTATCTGCAAAGGTTCTGGGATTTAATTCTAAAGAATTAAAAAGTTGAAATGCAAAATCGTACAAGCTTTTATCGAGTAAAAGACGCAATTTGGTTTTAATTTGGCGCTCCCTCAGTGTGAGTACGCTTTTGTTTTTGAGAACAATGTAACAATTGGCGTAGCAATCTTTTGATAGTACAGCTTCAACCGTCTCTATTTCCTGACTGAACACTATAAGTTTGTTTTCGATATCAACAACGATTAAGCGACTAGAATATGACATGGGTTTTGGTTTACTTTGTTCCAGGACAACAATCAAATCAACTATTTTCCAAGCGAATTCAAAATCTTCTTTCGTCCGTCAATTGCAACGTTAACATCGTAAAAAGCGAAAATTAAAACAACTCAATTCTTAGAGATTTTAAAAGATGGAATAAGTTGCTTTATTTTTCGATATGCAAAAAAATACTCATTTTCATCTTATCTAATTTGGGTTAGACTAAAACCGCTGCGTCCTATCTTTTTAAGTGCAAATTAATTTATTAATTCTTAAGTTACGTCCTCAATAATTTCAAATGCATCATTTGTGTCTGTTAACTAGGACGTACTGGTTGTTTTTCTATGGTGTACAGGTAACAAGCTTCAATCAGAGGAATACCACGAGCAATTCATTGAAATGTTAATATATCGCAAATATCAGATATTTCCATTAACTTTTTATGCTCTTCATTGACCTGCTCTCATGTAACGGGGAGCTACAGGAACAATCTAACAAAGGAAAGTTAATAACTCAATCATATAAACACGTTCAAATCTTAATGACACCAGTGAGGCAATGTCTCTTATCCGAAAGATCTTAGCTGTTGCTTTTGCATAGCGTTTTGCGTACACCAGTATTAGGAGCAAAAAGTTGGCAAACTCTATCCCAGCCAAACTCAAACTTTTTTTCGAAATTTGTTTGTTTGTTGCTAATATATATGCAGTCGTCATTCAAGTAGGAGGATTAGCCACTTATCAAGTATTGGCTATTGTTTGAAATAGAGCAGCTGCAAGTGCTCCTAACGTGTTAGGGCTGTTAGGGCCCTTGCAGCAATTTTGTTGAGTTCATTGAACTTTTTGAGTTTTAGTTCTTAAAATTTTAGTTAATGAATTTTTCTATTTTGATTTTATGCTTGGGAGTTATGAAACTTTTCTTCACTTATTTCTCATAATTGAGTTATATGCTGAAGTTGGTTACATTTTCGCCAACAACAGCATAAAAATTGAAAATTGTCATAGTGCTTAAAATACAAGTTATAGAGTTTTTACAAATACACCCCAGATTTGTTTCTCAATGCAAATGGATATTTGACTTTGCTTCTTGCATGTAATATCGCTTAAAACAAGCAACTGTACATACTTTTGTCTTCTTAACATTTGAAATCGTCATTTGGTTGCGCCTCAATTCATTCTTAATTTATAAACACAACTATTTGGTTGCGCAATACCATAATCCGCTGTCTTCCCGAGAAAAAATATTAAATTATTTAGGAAAAGATGTAAGAATTGTTTTAATTTAACAGATATAAATGCCGGCGGGTTTGCAATTTAACAGTTTATTCCTGCTTTGCCTTTTTAACAGATTATTCCACTACTACTTTGCCTTTTTAACAGAGAATTCTACTACTGCTTTTTTTTATTCGATAACAAAAAAAAAATTATGGCGGTCTACTTTTAGGCTAACTTAACAGAAAACAAAGGTCCAACTGTTAAATGCAAAGCCGTCGGCAAAACAAAGGAAAAGTAGTGAAAGATAAGTAGTGAAAGTGAAAACTTTAGGATATTTAGAATCTAATGCTGTTTATTTTTTATTAATAAATCTATGTTTTCATATAAAATTTCTTAATTTCTTCACTTTTTGTAATGTAAGCAAGAACCGAGCGTCAAATAAATGTGAGAATGGCTGCCAAACAGTGGAACTGTTATGCATCCAACGGCTTTCTTTACCGTTAGAGATCTATAAATATACATTCTCCGGTGGAGCCTGGTAATAAATTCCATAGTTTACAAATTAGTTCGTATCTTAACTAAAAATTTTCATTTCATTTTAACTAACTAATAAAAAATTTCGAATATCACGAGTTTGTAAGATAGAAATTAATAAGAAAATAATCCGTGGTAGTTGCATCGAACTGTAATGGAAGCGAGAAATAATTTCATATTGTATAGAAAATACTCCGTAGTACCTGTTTGGTTTTATCACTTTTTTTTCAATCATTTCTTGGTTTTCCTTTGTTTTTCTTTTATTTGTTAACTTGTTATGCCGTTTCTCGACCTCTCGAGATATCACTTGGCAAGTCGTAAATTTTCCTCTCCACTTTTGTATTGTCAACCAAAAGGTACACAATTTTTAGATGTGGCAGTGGAGATCTATTCATAGCAATTGATAAAAAAGAAGTTTATCGATAAAATTGAGAACTTTCCCATCGCTAGAAAATCAGTCCGCTAAAAAAAAGAGCATTTGTCTGCATTCGTTGATAACTTGTCGAATTGAAAAAGCGACTCTGAATTCGGTGACAATTGAGAGGGATTGAAAAAATGATTTCGAATTTGGTTCCATTTGAGAGTCTGAATTTGGTGACAAAATTATCGCCTGCACTGCAACAGAAGCATTATTCAGCGTTCATTACTCTTTAAGGTTCTGCATGCGGTAGTTTTTGCGGTACGTTAGCTGGGTATGCTGATGAATTGCTGGCTAAAGCAGGCTTTTGAGAATTTTGACTTTCGCAACGTTCAATTTCGCATTATATATTTTGGCTACTACTAAATACACTTCTCTTAGTATGGGCTCCAATATGGGAGATATACCTTTTAGCCTGGCTTCCTTTTTACTGTCACTATCTGTTCGACTTTTCGTACTTGTTTGTCGTACTTGAATATATTGAGGTAGATCAGGTAACGTTATATCGCTGCGATACGACTTTAAATTAATTATTTAATTAATTTTAATAATTAGTTCATATATAGTCCCACGTGTGCCACCTACATCCCATACAATAACCGACAAATCACACGAACCACTGAATAGCAATTGTGGTCCTTCAACCCATTTTAAGCAACGAACACTTGCTGTATTATCCAAGTGCAAAGTGATTAAATCAAGCCAAATATCTAATGTGGTGCAAATTACCAGTATGTCCTTTGAATGTTGTTATCAACTGAACGCCCTGCAAATCGCATTTCAACATCGTAATTTGCCCAGCATGATCACCAACGAAGGCGTACTTAGCTAATGAATCAAATCTGAAGCAAAAGAGAATAGTATGAACTCTTTTTTAAGAGACTATGAAAATACTTACTGCAATGCTGTGCAAGACGTTTCGAAATTATATACCCCGATACGACGCGCTGTTTCAGCACAATGATATCCAACGGTTTTGTCTTTGCTGCACGAAAGAATCCAGTTATGTGCCTGAGAAAAGACTACATTTACGATGCGAGCCTGATGTGCTAAATAGTCACGCACAAACGATAGGCGATTGCAATCTTCCGAGAGTATATATTGTGTTATGGTGCCATTTTCTTGGCCTATGTACAGTTGACGGGTATCTTGGACATAACCGATACATGTACATCCTGATGGCATATACTGACAAATACTTGGCCAATACTGTCCGGAATCGCGTTTTAACCGTATTCTCACAGTTCTGTAAAATGCGGTAAATTTGAATAATTGTTCATGTATTTGTATAAAAATTTGGCCATGTACGAGAATATGCGTATAAAACTCTCCTACATGTCCAAATTTTTATACAAATACTTGAACAATTATTGAGAATCATTTTCAGTTCTATACGCTTACTCTCCTACATGGCCAAATTTTTATACAAATACTTGAACAATTATTCAACAAATGTAAACAAATTGCGGTATATTAAACACAATTCTTTCGAAAATTTAATTAAATTAAGCTTATAGTGAAAGTGCAGAGTTTACGGATGTTGACCTCATCACTTACTTATCGTCTGATACGCTGATTACTCCATTTTCGCCGGGTATTAATATGGCGGCATTGATATCATCACCGCTCCCTTCTAGTTTGCTTAATAATTCAGGCTTTTTGGTGCTAAAGCGATTATTGTTTCGTTGGGCTGGCTTTATTTCGGCAGCCATTCTTATCACAAATTCTTTCTATTATCAGTTTCTCTCTTCCAGTGCTATACGGATTCGTTAGCTTTAATGGGTGTGAATTGATGACAACTACACACAGAGATATTTTTTAAATCACATATAAATAACAATAAAAGTTTAAGAATTTTAACAACAAAACAAGCCTCAGCACGAGATAAATTCACCAACGTCAACTAATATACGATTATCTAAAAGAATTATCTTCCATCGATATATATATTTACTTATCGGTTAATTGTTAAAACTTCTTACTTTAACCATTCGCATATTTTACGCAAAGCAAATATCATTCGTCTTATGAACTCATAGGGTGATATATCCAAGCGCACCGTAGAGTTTATGTTATTGACTTCCTTAATAAGTTTCATCAATCTTATTTCGATACATTCGTTTTTATACTGCTCAAACGATTCGTTAAATATAAAGTGTCTTAAGCATGCTTTGTATTTTCGCTCCTGATCATTGTCTGGTACGTTTATAGCAACAGTCTATGTCCGGCTGGTAAGCTTAGACACGACGATATTAAAGCATCTCTCCTTTCCGAAGCAATGCAAATGGATTTATTCCTAATATCATCTCTGCCTGATGGTGCCATAACGCACATACGCATTCACTGGATGCTCGAATCAATCAAATTTATACAATTTAATCAAAGTGGTCAAGCACAATATAATTTTGAAGTCTTAGATCGTTTCTTGGATGATTTGGATGAGATGCATTTGATGCTTGTCTTTGAGTTTATGGGAAATTTATCGAATTTTTGTGCAAAAAAACCAGCTCATAATTACTTTCTGTGTGAGGGTTTGAGCTATCAAGAAGTCAAACGTTTTCACAGTATGTAAAAACTATGTCGATTAATCGACTTTTTAATAGTTATGTCATATTCATGCAGATCGCTTTGGAATAGAAAATCTTTTAAATTATCGATTTGAAACATGGAACGAACCAGATTTACTTGCTTATAACAAATTGAACTTTACCCTTGAAGGTTAGTGAATAAAGAAATCAAGAATTATTTCCTTCGCTCACAAAGACATAAAATTTGATAGATTATTTAGAATACGCTTTCACTTTACGACGTGGTTTAGATAAAGCTGGACAAAATCTACGCTTTGTTCTTGGCGGTCCAGCGGGTCTTTTCAAAAGTCCTCAAAACCATCGCTTCTCCGTTTGCTTGTGGCTAATATATAGATATAAATGATGGCGAAATGGGATTTGTGCAGATATTGTGAAACGGCATTTGCAACATAAAGGGGCCCTGGAATCATTAAATGCTTCTAACATAAACAGTCCAATGAGTTTATATATTAGAAATGGAAAATGCGATTTGCTCTTTGTTTAAATAATGCAAAGTATATTTGCAACAAAAATTGTTAAAAGTTAAAAAAAAAACAAAAATGATTCAAAAATCTTACACACCTTAATTTAATTTCATTTAAACTATGAGATACATTCGGCAAGAAATATAGAATGCGCAGAGTTCCGCTCGTACGATCTTTTCCTTATCCATGTATTGATCACAGAAGTTAATAGCAGAATCGATTCAATTATCCGATTCTGTTCGCTCGTTAAACCACGAGTGCGAACTCTGAAAATTTATTTAGATAGATAAATTTAATCTCAAACAAGTCAACAATATTGTAAGCTACGACCCCCTTAAATATTCCACACCAATTCACATAATGACTTCACTGATCCAATCTGAATGCAACAGCTGTTCATAAACAAAACAAATTTTTCGAATTATTGAAAATATACACGCTTATTCTCGTATGTGGCCAAATTTTTATACCCTTATTCTCACATTTTTCGCTTATTCTCATATGTGGCCAAATTTTTATACAAATACTATACAATTATTAAAAATTGTAAACAAATGTGAACGCTTATTCTCCAGATTTCATCATTATATACTCACACAGTTACAATCTAATTAACTTGCTAACAGCGTCACGTTTGAAAGCCTGCAGTACTTCGTGTATTTGAAAACCAGTAGCCTCTTGAGTAACCATCAATTTTAACCCTTACTCACATCTTCCAGATCATTGATCAACATTTTCGCAAACACCTTATGTATCACAATAGCATGGCATGTATGGCTTTGCCACGTTTAATAATACGTAAAGTGGATAAACAAATGGCTTTGTTAGAGGCAGACGATCCCGTTTCCCAATTGCATAACTGTGTCATTTATATGAAGGATACCGATCGAATGTATTTATGTTTATCACAGGAAAAAATAATACAATTTCAAGCGACACCCTGCCCTAAAGGACCCAATCAGGAAATGATTAATAAGTGTATTCTAAGGGACAATGAAGGCAATTTTGTTTTTACATGCACCGTCTTTTTTTAGTTCACCCGTCACACTAGTGCCTATAGTTAATTCATTAAATTTGAATGGTGGTGGAGATGTGGCCATGTTGGAGTAAGTGGTGACAATTTTACTCCTCATTTACACGTTTGGTTCGGCGATGTGGAAGCCGAAACTATGTATCGCTGTACGGACGTTCTCGTGTGTGTGGTCCCTGAGATATCGCAATTTCGGGGGGAATGGTTATGGGTATGACATGACCATTTAGCTTATATAAAGAGTTTTTTTTTCACTTTTGGTTTTTCTATATCATATATTTTCTTTAGGTGCGTCAACCTACCCAGGGAGTACACTGCCTTATAAGATTTAGTCTGCTAAAAAGTTGCAACGAAATAATGATTAATAGTGCCGATGAAATAAATTTAAAAACTGTTAATGTATATGTAAATATTTTAATGGTTTGTCAACACTCGCCTGCAGTTGCCAAAACACAATAAAAAAAATGTGAATAGAATGAATATGAAAAATTTTAATTTGAATAGTTGCTTACCCATATTTCATGACATCAATGCATATTTTTGAAAAAAAAACTTGCAAAAATTCTGTAGAGTAGATTACAGTTTTTAGGTTTCAAAATAATTAAAATTAAATTAATTAATAATTACTTGCGAGGATTTTTAAGGGTTTTTGTAATAACACATGTGTTTTATTTTCCCGAAACGAATCGTCTGTTTAAGAAGCTTACTCCTTAAGCTAAGTATCTATTGCCAGAAAACATTGTACCAATTGCAACGAAACGACCATCATCACGAAGGCTTCTTCCACACAATCGTAAAGTACAAGAATGTGCAGAGCCTGATTTTTACGACTTCCCGCACCACCCTTGTGGTACCGTAATAGGCGCGTTGCCAATTGTTTTAAATGGCTGGCTCCCCAGTAGGCCTATACCATTATATACATAGTTATAAATTACAATATTATTCACAATAATAATAATAATACATAATACATAATAATACATAATAATACAAATAATACATAGTAATACGTAATAAATAAAAAGCCCCGCTAATACATTCATATATATAAAGAAATAAAAATTACTGATATGCCGGTGTGCTGACAACTGCAAAAGAAAAATATTGTGATTAATAAATTTTATGTACAAAGATGATCACAAACTTACCATTGGCCTACGGAAGTATCCCATTCTGCTGAAACGATGAGTGGAGGTTCAGTAGGAAACATGCTCTTTGATCTAAAATAAAACAAAAAGAAATAAATAAATTATACATAATAAGAAGTAACGATAAATGCAAACTTACCTTTAGCATGCAGCGAATTTTCATCGATATGAGGCGTCGACCGGATAGCTGGACTTGATTTTGCGGGCGGACCTAAAGCACGACTTCAAGATGATGATGCATTTTCAACTATTTCTTGCGCCCAGTTTTTGCCAGTCAGTAGCAAATGTATGATGAAGCCTAGGTGGTTAGTGCGGTGACTTCTTCCATTGGGGCAGGAGCCTGTTTTCTTGAAGAAGTCAAACTGCTTCACAATCGTCGCTTGGGTGCGCTTGCCGATGTTGCGTTAAACCATGTGGAACTTCATGATTGTCAAGCAGATGCTCGTGGCTTTCGAAAAAACTATAAACAAATTACGCCTCGGAAATTCGGGTTCCAGATCCTCATTAGCCAGGATTTTTTTGTGTTCCGGGATATTGGCGACTATTTTGCCATCAATTTCGGAGCATGCTTCTTCCTTCCTCAGCGTTAAGTCGCTTAGGCATGCTTGGCATCTTAGCTGCTCACGGATGTATTGGGCTATTCCATAGCCTGTGAGCAGCCTGAAGTATTTAGTCTCGTTTATAGTTAGCCGCTTGCCAGCTACTTTAAATGGTTCCCCATTCAGGTCGTATGGCATAAACTCATCTTCGGCCTGGGCTGGTGTCATGTAATCCAGCTTTTCATTCAGCTGATAAACGCCAACAGTTCTGGACCCGCTTCTCCAAAATTCTAATTGTCGATTGGTTAAGCGGATGCCCAGCTTCATTACATCTTCCACCGGTCTTGTTCTCGTTCTCCTGCCTGGCGCCATCTTGCAGAAAAATCTTTCCAAGAGGTCTTGGCTTACCGTGTAGACGTGTATAGTTATGCCAGGGTACACGCAGTAGGCCATCCATTATCTCCACGAAGTTGTTGATGGTGTCCAAGGTGGGTTTAGTCACCTCAGCCGTCTCGAAGTGAACTATTAAACAAGTTTTCACTTCCGCCAGCACCGCTTTCTGTCCTTGCCATTGAGCGCTGCTTATCTTGCCCTTGTGCATGACTTTGCATAATTTAGTCAGACCAGCGAAGGCTTCGTATGTTCGCATACCAGTTACAGAACACACCAATTTCACTGTAGCACCATAATGTATATAACCTTCACGAACATTAAAATCTTCCGATTCTGATTCATTATCGTCCAGTAAATGAATGGTAAAAGTTGAAAACGCATGAAAATGACCATTTTCAACATGCAGGTAACGTGTGTATACCGTTTGTGAGTATTGTGTTTTTGGGTTTACTCCATCCAGCAACAAATTGTTGGACCTATTTAGCACATCATCTTCAATGAAACTTTTTTCTTTACACGAGAAAATATCCACTTTCGTTGGCATTGGTATAGCAGTGACATCTTCTGCTTCGTCATTGGAACTTGCGGAAATCGTTTCGTTCTTGTGTTGCATTAGTTCTACTTGACAGTTTTGGGTAATTTGATTTTCGTCGGCTGCTGCTTTTTTATCGAATAGAATATTCAAGTAATCCAGTTGTTGCCAAAATTTGGAAGACATTGTTTGATCAAACATGGCTTTATTCACCTTGTTTTGTTCTTGAAAAGTGTTATTTGAAAAAAAGTTAACCATTTCTAAGTCGCGTTGTGATGAATAGTCTAAATCTTGTTCGCTAATTGAATAACTATCCTTCTTTTGTTTCACTTTGTCCCTTGAAGTTTTTTATATTTCAATACCATATTAAAACTGAGCGCATTATTTATAGACTGTTCTCTAAAATTAACAGCATGCTTCAAATAAGAAACGCATAATTCCCAAATATTTTTTAGTAAACCATCGTCGGAAGCAATCTGCAAATAAAATGAAATAATAATTCTATTATTTATTAATCTAACCGAAATTAAGGAAAGTGGATGCAATAAATACGACGTAGAACTTTATTAAATTGCATATCGTCTACGCCAATTTGAATCAGATTTTCAAACGTTATACAATTGTTTTGTTCATTAAAATATCCTTCTTACAAATAATTGTCATTTGTAAGAATTAAAATTGGCATCGGACAAATAAATGCTAAACAAAGGTAGACACAAAATAGCCAAATCAAAAGAAAACATGAAATTGTTTACAAATCAAAAATAGATACGAAGGTAGGCACGCGACAAATGTTACCCCAAGCAGCCATTGCACGTATATTTTATAATTTAAATTAGTCTTTGTGAAAAACAAATTTTAGAATAATTATTACAGTAACGCTCCACCAAAAATTTATATGTAACATCAAGCGCACACACATGCATATATATAAGTCGTTGATCCGGTAACATTGTGCAAATGGTAACAGCGTTACCAAAAAGAACAATTGGAAGAGTAATTGGCGTGTAGCCCACTTGAATCTTTTACTTTCTTTCAAACTACAATTTCAGTTTTTCAAGTGCACGGTAAAGAAAATTCGCTTCATCTTATACCTTATATAAAAATCGCTGGATATTAATCGGATTGCACCAATTTCAGCAGAAACTTTTTCCAACCCATGCCATGTGCCAGTTTTGTTTTTTTATGTTTTGCGATCAGTGTTAGCAGCATTTACAGGCTGCAGAAAAGATCGTATGAAACGATGCACTGCTTATCATATCAAACGAAGGTCCTCACTCCATCTTTCTGCACTAAATTTGTCTTTGATGTGCGACCAACTGACGATTTTTTTGAAAGAAAATTGATCTCTCAATTAGCTGCTTTTCACTTGAAGATTCTTATTAGTTATATCAATGTATTTCTGTGAGGTTTAGTAAGATAGATCTTCGAAAGAGTGGACCCCAGTGCAAAACAATTTTTTTTCTTTAATGTGATCAGCCACACAGGGGATGTCAGCGTTTGAGCTTCTGGACTACTCAAAATTCCTTTCAGTTGCAATGTAGCGAAGAGGACAATTTTTAGACAAACACGTTTTCAATTAAGAAGTGTTAACAAACATATATGCTTATTCTCCCGTGGTTGGCATTTTTTTATACAAATTTTTGACTTTAGTTACTTGGGTTCGAATGTTGCCTCAATTTACCCTCGTAATTTTTTAAGACAATGAAATCTGACATATGTACTGAATTCAATCACCAACTAATGAAAGAAATATGTCTATTACTTGGAAATGAACAAAAATTCTCCACACCTTACCACAACGAGATATTAGGAGCTGTCGAAATAAACCACAGAATTCTCAATAAATATCTTCTAGCCTTCACGACAAGAAACTAACGAGACAAATGGCTACCTCACTACTACTACTAAAACACCACTCCCCACGTAAAAACACGACACATACGATTCGAACTCATATATTGGAAATATAAGCCTGTGAATCTTTCTGCAGGTGGCACCGATTTTTCCCCAAAGCGAAGAATTAAGAAGCCCAAGGGATCCCAAAGTAAAATTAGCGCTAGCGTTGTACACTTAAAATAAGAGTTGGAAGATTGGCATTGATTTGCTTGCGAGAATGTTGGCAGCAATTTACAATTTAATAACTTTCATTAAATTATATTAGTTGTAATTGTACCTTACATAATCTAAAGGTACGTTTTCTCATCTTCCATTATTGTTAAAATTAAAAAAAAATAAAAATTGAGCTTAAGCCCGAAAATGATCTTTGTCCGTCAAGAAACAAATACATATAACCATCCAAAGAAAATCTAGTTGAAAATAGTCTCGCGTTTAGTTTCTGCTAATAAAGATCTTGTGTGTACATTTACCCCGATGAAGAAGAATGAAGGAAATTTGTTAAGCGAGCAGGCCCAATGGAGTGATAAGTCAGTTCTATTTTTTAATTTTTATTTCTTCTCTCTCTTTTTGTCTGTTGAAATGCGATTAATATGGATCGACTGTAATCTAATTTTTCTAGATGTGATTTTATTCAGTTTATCGGTTAGTTCTACATGCAGATTTTGGAACTTAGGTGATAGAAGAGGAAAAACGACAAGTATACCCTCAAAACCATACTTTGATCACAGCCAAAAACTACAATACGATCGCTCTGATTCACTGCCGGCAGGTTCTTTGCGTACTGTTATCATACCACAAAACAATGGAGTTTCTTAAAATACAGAGACTTGTAGCATATTGGCCGGTCAAAAATGTTACTCTACGCAGTGTAAAGCTACTAAGAATACCGAAGCTCACATGCTCCAATTTACGCACTGCTAGATTATTGCCAAATATATCTGGCACAATAAACTTAATGCAATTAAAGCGTATTTTTGTGAGAAAAGCGTTAAAACATATAAACTTTATTCCCATTACTTAAGTTTAACCGCGGCTCTAAGTTTTGCCGAACGACTGCGACTATAGTGCTTTATTTCTTCTTCGCCTGATAAAATAAGATGTCTATGTAGATGTTTCTGATTGCTCGAATTAATTGATTGCATTATCTCCTCATCATGGACAACATCATACCCGTTGATGACGTTTAACTATAATCATTTGCCAGAACCATGCCACAGTTAATTTCATTTAACTCATTGTTAACGAATATACGAAAAGCTTGAAACGTTTTAGTGGTCACATGTATGGGTCGCTGTAATTTATCTAAACGAAAAGGAGTTTCGTGCAGGCACCTGGCTGCCAAGTCGGCTAATTGTTTAGTAGTTTCTATAGCATGTACAGCCGATGGCGCAAGCTATCTTCTTAGCAATGTACTGCGTCAATTACGTTTCGTGTCCTATCCCGGCAGTCTACCAAATTTCAAGAAAAATCTCTTAAATCTCTTAAGGGCTATGGGGTTAAAAGAAGGAAACAAGACGGACAGTCAGAAAATGAGATTGAATCGATCGTTGGTCTATCTCCTTCTGTGTTTTATGCCCTTATACCGCAAGTGTATTAGCATGCGCATAGTTTACTGAATATGTTGTTGACGTTGCTGTTGACCAGATGTATACCGCATTAATGGCTTCACAATCGCGTTGGCTCAGACGGGGGATGGGCTAGTTGTACTAATAAGCCATGTTTAGAAATTTCACCTAAATTAAAAACATTTATTTGCTTATTCGTCGACGCATTACTTACACACCTAGCTTACGTCTGTAGGTCTAAAATAGTGATAGCCGCATGGAAAAGGGAATGCGGCAGCGAAAGTTGTAACTGATACGAATAATAAATATACTCGGGAACATTTCTCCATTTGGTAGAATATTGTGTGCCAGGTTGCTAATGCTCGTAAAACAAAGACGGCTTTATGAAAATTAATTTGTTTTGTTATTAAATTGCATTTCCTTTTTCTTTAGTTCACGTAGCACAGTGCAGTGCTTATAGATTATCGGAAAGAAGATTAGCGAAAAGGAGAAACATATGTATTAATACAAAATTGTAACAGAAAAGAGGAAAAAAAAATATTACAAAGAAACCCAGGAATTCTAAAACAAAAGTGATTTTTTAAACTTCACACGAACGTAAAAATGAAATGCTACCATAACATTGTTGCTTCAACGCACGTTCATACTTTTAATGTTATTGCCACCAAATATGTTACGCACCAGACTGGTACCTTTAATGCAATTTCGAAGTCGAAGGCTGCCATATATTACGCATCCAAATCGTTAACAAAAAGGACTTCACGATGTTTCAACCCAACATCTGCTAAAGTTTTACGACCATTAACGCTAGTGCCATTATCATTTGTTTTCGAGTAGATCGTACGTTTTGGAAAATTCGTTGTAATTTCAAATTCATCTGGTGTAGCAGGATGGCAAAATAGGTAATTAGAAACATCCTAAACAATGACAAAATTCATTAGTCCTTTTATTTTGCTTAGGAATTATAGTTAGACACCTACTTCCAAAGAGTTAGTATGAAGGAATCTACGTTCAATACGAGCACCATTGGGCAGTTTAAATACTACGCTAATGACATTAGTAGCATCGACTGGAGGTTCTGTCGGTACCCTTTCAGTTAAGTCCAATTTCAATTGGGCAATTTCCTTGTAATGAATAAATAAATTCACAATTAAAAAGCAACACTAAAGAGAGTGCAGTTTACTCCCGTACCTCTTTACGTTTTTCTGCCTCTTCCTTTTCTCTTTTTAAGGTTTCTTCTACTGCTCTTTCCCTTTCACGTTCCATTTGACGAAGTCTTTCCTTTTCTTCGTCTGCTCTAAGACTCTGTCGGTAAGCTTCATCTTGTTGTCTACGTAATGTTTGAGTAAAATTTCGCTCTAAACGATCGACTCTAGCCTGGCTGAGCCAAACATCATTAGCATTAATCACAGTTTGTAAACGTCTCACCAATTCTTCGGCAGTACAGTCGCCCTCAAAACGTCCCATAATTACCATGCGATTAGCTCTCAATGCTATTAAAACCAAGACGGGATATGTGCGGGCGTTTATCGAGTGAGAGACGCGATAACCCTCAGGCGAAGACACATCACATGCCCAGAAGAGTGTATTGCGGTTAATGAATTCAATAACACTCGAATCGGCTAGGGTTTGGCGGCAAAATGAATCTACATCAAGGTTTTTAGTGGCATCGCTATGCAAATATACCAACAAAAAGCAGAGCTCTTGTTTAGCATCATTTAAAGCCTGGGCATAAGTGCCTTGATAGAAGACAGGATGTTGGGGATAGCGTTCACTATAAGAACGTATAAAAGTTGTAACGTCTCCTAAAGGGTCTGTCACAACTTCGAAATTGATATAATAAATTATTAAAATTTGTTAAATTATTTTCAATGACCAGCTTACTGCGCTCCTCGTTTCCTCCTATAAATAAGTTGAGAATGCTGGATATGGTGGAATAGCAATATTGAAATACCACATTTATAATGTAACCGAGAATGCCTGTAAAAGTGCGCGGCACAGGCGCTCCATTAACACTTCGCGCTGTGCGCCCTCCCGGCATTGTAGCAGAAAAAACTTGCTGCAGAAAACGATCGTTGATGACAACAGGAGCACGCACATCTCTTGAGCCAGCGAACATGCTTGGACGTCCTTCACGTATGTTCATTTGTTCTTGGAAGGCAACCTTGAATTTATCACAATATTCTTAGGGACAAAGAAAACTTGTAAAAAGTGCTTTTCTACCTCTAAATCCCATTGATGTCTTATCAATACATCCCGGCATACGTTAATGTCTTCAATACCCGTAAGATCTTGCAATTGCAAAACCTTATCTATTTGTTCATTTGTCAGACCGTCCTCCATACTAAACGTATTATAAATATTTACAGCTTATCTGTAAGTACAGGACGCACATGTACAAATATTTTTACGGCGTGAACGGAGCCTTGAATGTAATTTGTAAATTACGCTTTCTATCACAACTCTCTTTGTTGTATCGAGACCGACCTTAGATTTCTTTTTTATCATCAAAATGCTTTTGTTTCACGACATTTATTTAAATTATTTGATTTTCCACATATCAAATCTCTAGAAAGAACACAGATTTATAGTTTTTCGGAGACTTTTTCCAAAATTCTTACATGGAAATAGACAAATTTGTTGTAAAAACTTTCGTTCCGCACATAAAAACAGCAATTAATGACATTTGTGCTTTTTTTAGGGTAAAAATGACAAACTGATAAAGAATTGCCGAACCTAAGTAAGTAGAAGCGAATTGTTGTTTTGCAGAAAAGAAATTTTTAGTTTACAAAATGGCAATGCCTCTTTAAGAAATATAAAAATTGAATAAATATTAAATCTTTTCAAACATATACATTTAAATTTTAATTTTTTGTTAAATTATTGTGCATACCACTTGCCCGTGTACTTATTTATTTCACACAAGAAAATTCAGCTACGCACTTAGGGTTCGACACAATGAGGCGTTATACTTATTTTCGGGTTGGGATTTCAACTTTAGCGACTTTTCGGAAAACTTTATGGGAACATATGGTTGTGCATATATACATATAAATGAAACAAATAAAAAACAAGGCGCAGGAAGAAACAAAGGCAGTTTATTTAACATTTAAGTTATGTATCTAATTTGTGTTTATCTTACTCCAATGTACCTTTTTCTTTATTTTATGTGATTTGCAACTTATGTTTCTGTCATGCACTATTTTGTAAGAAAGGAAAGGCAATCAATAAAGACCATTTATGTTAAAGTTGAAATATATTCATCAAATTGTTTTTTGGTGAGTGATAAATGGTAGTTTCCAAATATTGAATCGATCAATACACAAAAATATATCTTATATATATATCTCTACATATGTCTAATCCATTTTCTTTATCATTAAATAATACGTAAACTTTTTGCTTTTATATTAACTTCCTTATTATAATTTTTTCTAAATTTGTTATTATTTCAATCAATTTCGCCAGAGAAATAAATTCTAAGACTAAACTCTTAAAGGCACTAGCATCTAAGGCTATCGGCTTTTATTAAAAACTCTACCGCACTTGAGATTCGAACTTGCTAGTCGAGATTCCTCGCCTTCGGCTACTCAGGCGGAATTTTCTAAATTTATTTATACGATTTCGCTTACATTTGCCTGTAAAAGAATATGGTAACGCGGCTGCTCATTGTGATTACAACTTAGAAGTTTTCAGCATGTAACCGAAAATGACGCCTGATTGTGTCAGTCTCCTTAATCACACATTACCTACTACGGTTTTTAATTACGTATATCGATTTGTTCTACTGTATTTTTTGAGAGTTTTTGTAAACTCAAATAACGTTATATTAATATTTAATTAAAATATAAGACATCAAAGTGTGGTTAAAGTCTTCACATAATTATGCCTTTTTTTTTAGGTAAAAAGTCTCACGTGCGCGAAGCTGCTTTACCATGTTATTTTATAAGAAAAAACGAGAAAATTGATGTAAGCAAAAACATATTAAGTTTGAAATAAGTATTATTTTCCAGTATTAAGTTCTAAATAAGTATTATTTTCCAGTATTAAGTTCGAAATAAGTATCCTTTTCCAGTAATAAGTTAGAAATAAGTATTCTTTTTCCAGTAATAAGTTCGAAATAAGTATTCTTTTACAGTATTAAGTGCGAAATAAGTAAAACTTAAAAAATCAACATATATGCAAAGAACGAATATATGAAAAACGACGAAAAGAAAATTAATATACAAGTAAATCAAATTTTTGATTGATTAATAAAATAAAGAAAAATTTCGAAAATGCTTTTAAAAGAAAGTGCATGCAGGTGAAATTTATTGACGCAGCAAAAAAAGGAAATGAATTGCTTACATGTTTTGATTTGAAAAGTATATTTAAAATTGGACATAAAACGGCTTTATTAGTTATTTTTCATTCCTAATAAAATAATATGATGTATAAAATAAAGTTTTAAATTGTATAATATAAAAAGATTTAAGATTTTAAAAGTTAATACGTAAGTAACGATTTTCTTTAGGCTTAAATATAATCATGCGTTATATCTATTTTCGGAATGGGACTTCAACTTTGCCGACGTTTTATGAGACGTTGTGGAAATTAGCAAATCATATAGTTTTGCATGTACACATAGAAATACAACGAAAAGAAAAAAACGCAAAAGGAGAAATAAAGAAAATCTAATTTATATTTAAAAACTGTTTATATACTTTATGTTTATTTTTACTAATTTAAATATATATATATATATATATATATATACGTATACCAACGCCACCGCGACGAAAATATTATTATTAAAATATTATTATTATTATTACATTTAGAAGCCAAAAAAACTTGTTTTAAAAGTTTAAAAGGTTGCTTTTTGCCGTTAATACGTAACTACCAGAAAATCTTATATAAAAATTATTCAATAGCGTAAAGTTTTTCTCCAAACAAAATATTTTTAGCGTTCATTATATTATGTTATTGCAATTTTGATTATAAATAAATAATTTTTGCCTTTTTTGTTAGTTAGTGCCAGAAAAATTTTCCGCAAAAAGAACTCAGCCGTTAGTAGAATTGTAATGTAAGATTTTTGGATTATTTTGTATTTGTTTTTTATATATTTTTAGAAGCCCACTCGTGAGGGATTATAAGGCTGGGGATGATATTCCAAATGGAACTAAGTGCATGTAGTAATTTTCAATTTTAATATCGATAATCACATAATTATTAATAAAAATATGCTATGCCTTACTCTAATTATGCAAACACAAAAAAGTCGGGAAAGACTCGGAGCTTTGATATCTTGGATTTGAGGGAGGACGCACGTTGACAACGTTAACGATACAACGAGAGACGATTACAAAATCAAGAGCGATTTAAGATGACTTTGAGTCGTTCCATCGCAGCAGTCTACAAGGAAAGGAACTTCTTAATTCGACCGTAGGGCTTCGAAAGTGAAGATTCAGGTTAAATTAACTCAATTTTCGTTTTTAATTTCATTCATTATTTTCATTGTGAGCTTGAACTTTGAATTTGATCGTTTTATTGTTATATTATATATTATATACAAATGCAATATTCCTTAAAATGTGTTCAAAAACTCCTTTTGATGGTTTCATACTTTGTCAAACTTACTTTTGATACTTTGTCAAACATTTGCACATATCTACATGTAACAATATGTATGTTTCAATTTACTATCAAATAACGTAATATGAGGAAATGCGTATATATTTCTCAATATGACTTAACAATACTTTAGTTACCTTTTTTATGTTTTGTTGGTAAAATAAAAGTAGAGTGATGGGTTTTCTGTTTGTTGCTCCGTTGAGCTTTATCAATGATAACGACAGTATATGATGATGTAGACAATTGCAGTAAAAAGAGAAAATAATTATTACATACCTTCCACAAATTTAAAATTTTCGTTTTGTTTCAGCTGTTTATAAGTAAACAATTTTGCTGGCAATACAGTTTATTTCCAATTCACACCTGTCTTATTTTATAAATGCATCTCTAAACAATTAATACTAACGTAAAACGTGATCGATTTAGTTTATGTCGCTTTTGACAATTCTGAAAAGGCGCTTCTCGTATTTCCTGTGCACATACTGATAGGAAGGTCGAAGCTTGAAAGTAAAACATAGTTAACATCATACATCATTAGTGAAAATAGGTGGTTGGTGTGTTGTTAACACTTTCCAGGTTACAGAAATGCAAATATCGACGTTATGGAAAACTGTGCTGTTTATGTGTTATACTTATAACTTATTTGCAACGGGGAATCAAGTTAGTTTTTTAATACAATATCTTTTGTCACGTGAAAACCGAGTATTTTTTCCACTTATTATTCATATTATTTTTATCTTTGCTTCCATAAAGACATTAAGTTTGAAGCAACGTGGAAAAAAATAAAATCACGCTTTTAAAGAAGTAAAAAGTGAAGAATGTATTTTATTCTATTCACTTTATTATGACCATAAAGAAAGTCATGAGGCGCCAAAGATTTTAACGGTGTTGGGTATGCAAGATGCAGCCACTGCCAAACATAACTTTCTTACTTGTTATTTATTCATTTATTTATTTATTTACAATCCCATCTATCGATAAGTTGATTTAATGTATTGTTTTTCACTGTCTTATAAAATCCATCGTGGCGTTTGATAACGCTATTATTTTGTGTCTACCTTTGTGTCTACCTTGTGTCTACCTTTGATTTGTAAACAATTTCATATGTTTTCTTTTCAATTCCCGATCTTTGTTATCTATAGGGCGCGTGGAAGTCGACGTCCCTATATAATTCAAAAAAGGCGACGTTTGTTAAGTCAGTTGAAATTAATTACATTTCGAAGGTGAGGCAAAAATCTGAATAAAATTACCTCTATTACAATACCATTTCGATCAAGCGTGCCAGTTGCAAAGTGTGTATAAAAAAGAGATTTTTCTACCTCATCTGTTTTCGTGAAATTTTATTCAAAAATCGACAAAAAGTTATAGAGTGAAGCCAAAAAAGCGAACCCAATAAGAACAAGCCATGTGTAAATCTCCTTTTTTAAAAAACTTATAAAAGTGATATTTATTGACGGTCAGTGCTTTTATTTCCTTTATATACAATATTTACGGTATTAAGAAGGAGGCCGAGGTGAGATACCCATACTTTTTTCTAGGCAGTGATGCTTCGCAGGTTTGTGAAAAGTTCATGGTGTTTATGGTGAAGATGTTTCATCAAAATCAACAGCATATATATGATTTGTCCGTTTTGAAAAATTGGGAAAGACTGCTATATTTTATCTTATAAATAATAATGTAATAACATATATAATAAGGCTGCATAAAAAAGTTGCTTTGTCTTGCAATGCATCTGACGACTCGCGGAAACGTTGACAACAATTAATAGAAATTTAGCGGAAAAAGGAATTGACACAAAGATGTCGCGATGAGTTTAGATAATGCTAACTTGCTTGTAAAAGACTACTAATACCATCTACAAAATGACTGCTAACCACACTTGCAAGAATTATGATCAAAATACCATCTACAAAATGACTACTAAATTTTGGCTCATTTAACAGTTCTGTAACTTGGTGAAGAATCTTTCAACTAAAAGAGGGAGTGCATTTATTGTTTAGCCAAAACTACAGCAGAATTAAGCAAACTTAAAATTCCAGATAGGGCTATGATAGTAGTAGCTTCAATAAAAAGAAAGAAATGTTCATTCAACTGAAAATAAAAAGATAGACTGGAACTTGGTCTAAATATATTATATAACTGGACTTATTCTTCAATAATATTAAATTGCAGGTATAAATTGGC